TATATAACAACTTGTTGTAAACTTCGCGCAAGATCGTAAAATACAAACACGCGTGAATATTCGATATACATGTACTTGTACACACACGTACAGTCTTGCAAATTGCTGTCGTCCTGAAATAATCGGCACAGCAGTTTCCGAGTCGTGCGTCCAGGCGAATTCCAAACGCTGGAGAAATAATTAATTCGAAAAAAAGAAAGAATAACGACGCGGAGTAAAGGATCGATCAATGGCTAAACCGATATGTATTAACCTCTCTGTTCGACGACGGGATTAATAACCACCGAACAACTCGTGTTCTATCCAAGTGAAAAATCGGGAATTGCTGTTACGAGGCGAGCGTATGTCTGTCTGTCGTTAAATCGAACGAAATTATCAATCAAACTTGATAACGCGACATTCGAGTCGCGCATTCCGTGCAAAGTGAAAAAACTCGTTTTCAAATTGTTCGTCGACTGTTGCGTCGAACTTTCGTTACGGAGAACGAAATTACCCTTATATAATTGCGACACGATTGCGTCGCGAGTTTTGACGCTTAACGCGCGTGACATTAAAAAGGAACGTTGTATAATCCGAATGTGTTCGGTTCGTAGTGCGAGAGATGAAAAAAAAAAGGAACGAAATGGCACTCTAGCTGGGGTATCTCTCGTATCTCTTGCAATAGTCCGCGTCGAGACTCGAAAATTCTGACGAATCTTTCGAAATGTGTTAACCCGAACGTGTGTAATCGTGCGTGTTTCGTCAATAACGCGTCGGACGTTAACCGTTATTCTAGCAGATCGAGGAAGTTTCGAGTATCAGTTATCTCGTTCGTTGGATTTATATGCGTAACGTAAAACGAAAAATATCGGCCACCGACGAGGCCGACGATTAACGATCGCGTTAATTGGCAGATGTCGCAACGCGATTCCAACGTGTAAAACTTCTAAAACTTGACCCTCTATTGCATTCCGTTCCCATTTGAGGATTTAAATAAAGTTCCCATACAGTCGTAAAATGCAATAAATAAATAACATTTTCTAATGAAATTTTATTATTTATTTCATGACCACATTTTTAAGTAGACCAACAACCATGTATATTTTTTTCTTAGTCGTCATAAAACTTCATACAATGGAGGGTTAATAATGTTGTGTATATATGCTTTCTTGCAAAGTGAATACAGATGCCTGGCTTGCTAACCTAAACCAAAAAGTATGTGTCTTCTTTTGTATAAATACCTACATTTCGCGCAAATTTCGTATAAAAGAAAAATATCCTTTTGTCCGCAGCGAAGAAGGAATATAGATAGCAAGAGTTTGAAATGAAAAAAAAAAAAAAAAAA